TTAGAAAAAAGTGGCTGTCATGGCCAAATTGTCTTGTTTACAGCTGGTAATTCTGTCAGTATATTTGACTAAACATCACTGTCCTGGTAGTGACTGATTTCAGTGCTGCCTGATAGTGAAAGTTTATTTATTTGTAAGGGCTCTTCATGGAGAGGTGCTGTTGGTGGAGCAGCCAAGGGACACATCAGTGGAAAATGATATTTCTTAGTATATGATGCTCTGTCAAATGATTGCTCCAGTCTTCAGGTTATTGCCCGGTGATTGCTTTATTTATTTTGTTTCCATATGCAAGTATTTTTGGAAATGTGAAATATTTAATGGTGGAGAATGTGCACATTTGCTGCCTTCTGAAACAGTGGCTTTAAGTGATTGAAACATCTTACTTTATACCTGGTAAATGCAGGTACAGGTTTTGTCTTCTCACATTCTTCAATCTGTTCTCTTCTCCTTCTCTTTTAGGAAATGCCCAATTCTGTCTTTTTGGTCATGGAGGTATGTGTTAACGTGTATGTTTGTTTCTGGATGATTTTGAAGACTTTTAGACAGAACTGCTCCTTTGCCCCAGCTGCAAAGTAACCCTGAGGTGTTGAAAAAGCAGTTCTGAAAAGCAGATGATGAATTTCCTGTGCCTCACTGAATTTATCAGCACAGTTTGATGCATAAATTATTCAGTGTCAGTATTGATATGAAGTGTTGCACCTCAGATTATTAATTACAAATAATAATATGGCAAACAACTGGAAAAGGTCTGATTTTCATGAAAAGATTACAAAGTAAGAATGATGCAACAAGTATTTCAGTGCTTGTGTTTTGAATAAACCCCTTTGTTTTCAACAGTACTGCAATGGTGGGGATTTGGCAGATTATTTACAAGGTAATTGATGGCTGTTTTTCCCTATTAAGAAGTTATTGCATGGCATGTTTTTATTCTGTATTCCTGATATCTGTTGGTGTTTCTCTGAGATTTATTTTTTTTTTTGCTTGTGTTTTAAATATTGGTGAATGAGGGTAAATGTAATAATGCACAGACAGAAAATGTGGTGGTTTTTTTTTTGTTAGCCATAGCTGAATGTAACATTCCCTTATTTGTAAATGAGAGAAGCTGTAGCTAACCACAAGTAGCATGCTGAAAATCGTGTGGGTTCCTACTTCCAAAATGGCATTTTGGGGGCTGCTCCCAGTGTTTTGAATCCACCTGCTTTCTTTTGCAAGATGTGAACTTCAAAAAAAATGCTGAATTACATACTAATGCTTTCAACCAAGAGGCAGTGCTGGCTTAGGAGAGAGATTTCTCGTGGCTCTGCCCAAAGTGAAGAGAGAAGTTGCAGAATCACAACAAGTGGCTTCTTTTTACAGATGCAATTCTGAGCAGAGATGTTAATCTTCATATCTTCCTTGATGAAAATATTCTTCTACTTGCTTTTGCCCTCTCAGTATGTTGAAGGAATCTTTTTGTGCACAGCCATTGTTATGGTAACTGTGTATATTAAAAGCATCATTCACTTCTCATTAAAATCTTTGGAAAGACTCATCTAGTGACACCCAGCTCCTGTGTTCAGTACTGAGATAATACCTTCTGAAGAGACTTTCCAAAGCCCATCTTAGTTTTTTTTTTTCCCCTTGAAAATAAATTTTACAATGGGTTGAATTTCTGAGCAGTGGTTCTCTGGCATCTCCATAACCATTGGTTTAAAGGGCAAGTTTTATGGCTTCAAGCTGTAACATGATTTTTGGATGCATTTAATGTGAAGTTCTTTTATTTTCTTGTCTCCTTTGCCCTTTGAGCAAGTTTAGGATTTAATGGTGACCGGGAAGCTTTACAATTAAGATGCTACCAAGTTGAATAAGCTACTGTAAAACCAGATAATTCAGAGTTCTGCATCTAGTTTAAATCCATGATTTTATATTTTTGGAAGAGTATATACATTTGTAGAAAAACCCTGGAGATTGGATTGTTCTGCATGTAACTCACTCTGATTTGATGCTAATTCACCATGATTCAGTTTGCCTTCATTACTTTCGCAGTTGATCACTGTGAACTCTTTATGTCTTGCCCAAAGACACCGATATTTATTTCCTCACCTGCCCGTGTGTGTGTGTGTGTTGTTCCCAGCTAAGGGGACTCTCAGCGAGGACACCATCCGAGTGTTCCTGCAGCAGATTGCAGCTGCCATGAGAATCCTGCACAGCAAAGGCATCATCCACAGGGACCTCAAACCACAGAACATCCTCCTGTCCTATGCCAGTCGGCGCAAGTCAAGTGTCAGTGGCATTCGCATCAAAATAGGTAAATGTGCTTTTCCCTGCCTGAAAGGTGAATTGTTACTGCTGGATTGTTCCCCCACTGAGAGCTGTCTCTGCAGTTAAAGCTCAGAGGGTGGGCTGGGTGTGGTCTGTATTAAACTGATGCAAGTCTGGAATGAGGAGCTTTATGCTGTGATGTAGTTTCTCAGTGTAATAAGGCTTGAATTGTAAAGACCTGTTTTTGAATCTGCGGGCCAAAGTAGTCTATTCAGCTGATGTTTCTAGTATCAAACTATTTTAATTAGACATAACTTTTGAAACTTGGGGTAGCTTTTAGCCAATTTCAGGATTGTGTGCATGTCCAGGCACAGTTCCAGCTGTTTGCTTTTTTAGTGGCAGACCCTCCTAAGGGTTATTTGAGACTCTTAGAAATGTAGGTTATGACCTATTTTTGTCAGAGGGAGGTTTGGCATTGTAACTGGGGAGAGATGTCAACTGTTCAGGGTACTATCAAACTCCTCTTTGAGGCCACTTCAGGAGTTTTTTAATCTCTCCTTGTTGTCTGATAAATGTCCATTTAGAAATACCTTGTTTTTAACAAGTTTCTTTCCTCTGCTTTTGCTCAACCAAAATCTGAGATCTTTTCCAACTCATTCAATCATCTGAACTGCACAGAGGAGACAAACCAACCTCTCTTTCTGTCCTTGATAGTTTCAGATGCTTTTGCCTACATGGAAAATTCAGGCATCTGAAACTTGACTACTTCTACCTGATGTGATTTCACTGGAGCAGATTGTATATTCATGATTCTTAATGAGCCATTTATATTTAGCCAGTGACTTTAATCCTTTCCTGCTGACGCCAGACCAGCCTCTGTGCAGCTGGGGAGGTTGGCTGAGCAGCAGTTTGTGCAAATGATGTCACTGCTGTTTCTTGGCTTGCTTCTTTAAAAGGTGATACATCTGGGGTAACAAAAGATTTTACTCCTCAGTGTAGTCACCTATCTATTAAACCTGTACTTTTTCACTCTCCCTGGTAACTGTAGCAGATTTCAAGGTGGAAAATGTGAAAATCCTCTTTTCTTTTTGTTGACCGGCGTGTTTCTTTACGCAGCTGACTTTGGGTTTGCTCGTTACCTGCACAGCAACATGATGGCTGCGACTCTCTGTGGCTCCCCCATGTACATGGTAAGGACAGCGCGTTTCCCATTTACCTGGCTCATCTCCCAACGCCCTCCCGCCAGAACAAAATCATTGACTGCTTGCAGATTGGCAGATGCCTGCTGTTGCTTCACAAGCACTCAGGGGCAGCGTGCAGTTCCCCTTTCCATGGTTTTACTGCCTCTTTTTTTTTTTTTTTTTTTTTTTTTTTTTTTTTTTTTTTTTTTTTTTTTTTTTTTTTTTTGTCTTGGGATTTAGAGATCGCCATGGTTGAAATCGGAGAGACGTCGAACATTTCTCAGGGTTTTTTTTTTTTGCCCACAAGGAGAACTGCACAAACCAAGTGAATAACACTTGCCTCTTCTTCCCACACGTGCCAAATGCTGGATGCTTTCTCTAGAACGTCAGCATTTCTGGTTTTGAAACACAACTCCCATGTTAGATTGAACTATTACCTCTGAAGTCACGTGTAGCATGTTAAAATGTTAATTTTCTCTTACACTAAAGTGGGCTCTGTTAATACTGCTCTGGCAGAAGAACTGTAGAATTCATACTGCTGTTGGCTTTGCTTTTTTTGTTCTCCCTTCTGAGATCTTGCTGTTCTTTCCAGGCCCCTGAAGTGATTATGTCTCAACACTATGATGCTAAAGCAGACCTGTGGAGCATAGGAACTGTGATTTATCAGTGTCTTGTTGGAAAACCACCTTTTCAGGTAGCATTTTATTTCCTTTTCCCCCTTTCCAGTCTGAAGGGCACTTCTAGAGCTCTTGCTTCTTGTCAAAAGTAGGAGTAAATGATGGCTGAGCGTAGTGTTGATGCTGCAAAGGCCACTTGAGAATACCAAGGGAGAAGGTGTTTATGCTTAATCTGTGTCACCAGTGTGTTCAGTCCAGAGGAAATTAATAAATAAGGATACTCAGTGCTGAAGTCACTGCTGTGCTTTGGGTTTTTTGCTTTCTTGCCCATCTGCAAAAGCCTCTTTTTCTGTGTGTGTATGTGTAGGCACAAAAGCTGTTTTCTCCATGAAACTGAGCTTTAATTAATGTACATTTTTATTTGACAGGCCAATAGTCCTCAAGATTTGAGAATGTTTTATGAAAAGAACAGGAATTTGATTCCTAGGTACGTCACCATGGCCTTTTCCTGTCGCTTGCACTTGTTGATTGAACACTTTGTCATCTTTGGGAATGCCTGGGATTCATGGAAGCATTTGCTGTTGCCATCTTCCCAAGGGTGTAGTGTGATACCAGTGACTCAGGTTGCATCTTGCCCTCACTGTACCTGGCTGAGTTGAAAAGGGTCCTGTACTGAGGCTGTAGAACACGGATAGTGGTGACTTAGGGACGTGGCAGAAAGCTGATTTCCTCAAATTCAGTTTGCTGTGCGTTATTTAATGCATGCATTCAATTTAATGCATGTTTTACTTCCTCTTGTGTGCAGCATTCCTAGAGAAACATCAACTTATCTGGCTGACCTGCTGCTGGGTTTGCTTCAGAGAAACCAAAAGGATAGAATGGACTTTGGTATGTATTTTTTTTCCCCTCTTGCTCTCTTGACTTCCCTTGTTGGTTGTATTCATGTGACCAGAATAATTGTCTTGACCTTTTGTCTGAAGCCAATTACATGAAAAATGAAGTTGTTTTTTTTTTTTTTTCTTCTCAGTTATCATAAAGAAGGCAGAGTAGCTAAAATAAATTATTGGATAACTACTGTCAGCACTGTCAGTATTCAGTGATGCACATAAATCCTGACTTTGCTGTTGAGTAGTGAGATATAAATCAGTTTAATTCTTTCAGTTGTGCCCGTCCCTCCCAGTGTTAACTGATATACCTTAAATTTCATGCCTCAGTCGTATTTCTGTTGCTTTATATGGTGGTTTGGCTTCAGACCTGGAACAGACATGTCTGATCTCCATGTGATTGCAGAAATGTAAAAAAGTACTGGAAGAACATGCTTTAAGTTGCTTTCAATGTTTTTCCCCCCATTCTTTCTTCTTGTAGACTGTAAATATCATTGACAGTACTAATGGGGATACAAGCTATGTGTGTTTGATTTGACCTTCAGAGCTGTGTCTGTGGATATCTGACGTCAGTGAGAGATGGGATTTACATCAAAATTGTTTATATTTGCAGAGATGAGTTCCTGGTATTGTGTTTGGATATTGCTAAATGTAGAGACCTCTTCACTTGAGTGAAATGTTTTCACTGGGTTGTTTTTTTTTTAAGCCCCAAAATATTAGAAACAACAGCTGTATCTTTGTATTTCTTGAACTCCTGAAGGTTTTAAGCTGTGTTGTGACTGAGGTTTCATGCTGTTAGACATGACTCCAGTTCAGGACTGCATTTTGCATTAGTTTGGAAGTTAAACCTGGTACCAGCTAGATGGATGCCCTCAACAAAAGTGGACTTGTTTGGCTCCAGTTTGCTGCTGTGTTTGGCCTTTTCTCTTTAGCTGGAGACCTCTGGTTGCAGAACACTGCTGTAACTTAAGATTTCAAGGCCTCAAATCCCTGCTGCTGAATCCTTCAAACTGGCTACAACTGTTGCCTCTTCTAAATTAGTCAGGAGTGGAGTTGAGATTTGTGTTTTGTGCTGGCTGGATGGTCTGTGCCTCACTTCTGCCTCAAAAAGCCTTTGTGTTGCTGGGCTTTTGGTTACCCATTACTGCACAAGCATTAATACTTTTTCTTTCTTTTGTTTTGTTTTGTTGATTGTGGGTTTTTTTTAATGCAAACTCAGACAGCTTTTCTAAAAGACCGCTGTTGAAAAGTTAAATCTTGACTAGTTCTTCTTAGCTGCATCTGTATGTCACGATATTCCTGATGGTTATTTAAGTTTAATAGCACTATTTGTTATTGTAGTTTTATCATAGCTGCCAGGAAATGTTAATTTTTCAGTTCAGATCCAGAAAAAACTCACAGTAATTGGCTAAAATGTCACAAATCATGGTGACAGTGTTCAGAGGGCAGTGCATAAATCTGTACGTGGAGAAGAAATAATACATCACAAACATGGACTGTGAGTAATTGATTCCACTTTGCACTCTGGGTGTGCTGATCCCCACAGTTTCTTCAAACATGGGAAATTCACTGTATCATTTGGGGTTAGTGGGAAGAAAGCATTTGTGCTTAGAAAGAAAAATAGAAAGCAGAATGGCAGTGATGAAAGTCATGTTTTCCTTGGCTGAGCCACTTAAAGGGCCTCAAAGGGGCTGCTCTGGAATGTGCTTAGCAAAGGGAGTGAAAGGGAGAGTGTAGAACTGAGCCCAGTTGCCTGTTGTTAAAGTAAAAATAGCTTTGGAAATCTTGTTGATCTTCCAGCAATATCAAGTAGAACAGCAGGTGTTGTACAAAAGCTCGGGAACACCTGATCCTGGTGTGAAAAGTTAATAATTACATCGTCCTGGCACTGCAGCTGGATCCCCTCCCTTATCGGGCTGGGGGGGAAGTGTTGCTGAAGGGAGGGGAGATATTGCAGGCCTCAAATTCTTTCTGTGTTTTGTTTTGTTTGGTTTTTTTTTTTTCTCCTTGTTATTTGCTCACTTCTGAGGAACAGCATTGTTTTTCCTGGAGTGTTGGAGCGTTAAAGCTCACAAAGCTCAGCAGGTGGATTTACCAACCCTCCGTTTCCCCGAACTGGCTGAACGCTGCTCCTTGTACAGCAAAACTTTCCGTGTAACCTGGCAGCCAACTGGTTATGCTCAATTAAAAGTACCTCATATCCATTTACCAAAAAAAAAAAAAGGCAAAATGTTTCTATTGTATTGCAGAACTTGTTAAAGAAATGGTGTTTAAATCTGCTTTATGCCGTGAAACGGCTGCACAGGTCGTGTTCTGCCGTTGGGGAGTGGGAAGGGGAGTGGCTGGTGCTCTGCTGTGATTTTTGGCCACCTTAGGTGGCATTAATGAGTTCAAGAATAAATGTCAATCCTTGGGAAAGGCAGAAGTGGAGATGCTTTCAGTGTCTGAGAAAGGTGCTCACTGTTCTGAAGAGCAGACTAGAACTGAATTAGTACCACGGGCAACATAATTTCCTGGGGAGTGTAGGAAGGTTTCTTCTGTACATGATTCTGAAGTGCTGGGGGATATCTTGTGACTGCACTTAAGTCTGATTTGCCTTGCTGACTGATGTTTGAAGTTACTCAATTGATTTTCGTTTCCTTTCCAAATACTATAGCAGCACATAACATGGAAAGCTTTAATCTTTTATAAGCTCTTCGCCCTCTGGCTCTGGAAGGTTCATTCTGGGAGGGCAACCATTTATCACCCTCTGCAATATAGTCTGTAAATCCTGTCAGTTGTACATTTACTCACAATGGTGGTTGTTTCTTGTTCCACAGAAGCATTTTTCAACCACCCTTTCCTGGATCACGTTTCAACAGTCAAAAAATGTAAGTTTGGGGTTTTTCCACTTATCTGTGTAAACGATGAATGTTGGGGGCTGGAAGGGAGAAGGATCTGCCAAATATCCCACTAAGTGTTTATGAGACATTTTCCTCAGTTTGCCTGTTGTTGTGCTCTATTGTGAGCCTGAGTGTTGAATCCTTTCTTGTATTATGCCAGATGGAAATGTGATACTTATTTACTCGTTCCTTTGACGTTTCAGCTGAACTCAAATACCCCCGTGTGACTGAGGATGTGCTGTGCTTATAACTCGTGTAAGGTTTACGAATGAGCAGCAGTGAGGAAATTTGTTTGAAATTCAGCCTTTCAAAATCTTAATCCTCCTTTTTTTTTTTTTTTTTTTTTTCTGTTTCCCCTCTGGGTTTTACTCCTCCAGCTTGTCCTGTACCAGTGCCCACGTACCCAGGCTCAGTCTCTGGCAGTTCCTGTGGTAGTTCCCCTTCCTGCCGCTTTGCTTCTCCCCCAGTAAGTTCTCTGTGGTACAGAACAATCTCTAGAAAATACTTTCTGTAATGTTTAAACAAAAGCTCCTGAATTTTTTAGATCTTTTAATTCTTGAGCAGTGTCAACTGTCTTAAGAGCAACTGTCTTTTGCTAGAATGCCTTCAACATTTTGGTTCTCTCTTCTTGTGTTGCACTCTTTGGGGAGTTTTTTGTTGTTCTTTTTTGTTAAAGCAGAAATACATATCAAATGCTGGAATAGCAAATCTATAGATGTGCTACTGTGGTTTGCAATGTAATGATTGTTACAGATAGATTTTGAATTGGCCTTTTTGGCTAAAACCCCTTATTACAAGGCAGGGTCTTCAGTCTGATGTGACATTTGGAAGAGGTACATCTGTATCATCAGGCATGATTAAATAAATCACAGTTGTTTAAACTCACAGCCTAATCAGTAGAGGACTGTCTAAATTGACACTGCAGGGTTTATCCAGTGTTTGAAATTTCCAAATTGAAATATCAATTGAAATACTGGAATATTGAAATAAATTTGATATTTCTAAAAACTTAAATCTAGGCTGATTTTGGGGGCTTGTTTTGGTTGGTTGATTGGTTTTGTTGGGCTATTTTTTTGGTCAAAGCTTGTGTTGATTCTTACTTTGGAAGCTTCCTTTAAGTTAAAGAGCATTTCTACTTTCTGAATCACTGCATTTACAGTGTTTTTCTTACTTTCTTTTTCCTACCACCCCCCTCCAGTCTCTGCCAGACATGCAGCACATTCAAGAAGAAAATTTGTCTTCCCCTCCTCTGGGTCCTCCGAACTATCTGCAAGTCTCTAAAGACTCTGCCAGTACCAGTAGCAAGAACTCCTCTTGTGACACAGATGACTTTGTCCTTGTCCCACACAACATCGCTTCAGACCACTCATGTAAGAACCTTCCTTGTTTTTACATTTTAAACCGATTTCCACCCGTAACATGTGTTTATATCCTATTACTCTTTGGCTCTCTCTTCTCTAAATGTATTTGAATTCACAATGAAATTAATTTCTTTAGTTTGATTGCTCTTTGGAGGGAAACTGTTTGGTACTGCCTGCCCATCTGGGACGTTTTCACCTTCAGTTGAACAGCCAGATATGCCAAAGATACCGAGGTGATTCAGAGTCATGGAAAATATTGGGGTTTGGCAGTAGAAGAAGAGAATCAGTTGTAAAAAACTACTGATAAGAGGCCCAAGGGTTCTCTTAGTGGAGGCAGGCACTTTGTTTCCTCCAGACTAACTGAACAGCTCGTGCTGTACAGCTTTAGATAATAAGTGCAGGTAAAAACATAAACATAAAAGGTGGGGCATCAGACTGAGCTTATATGAGAAAAAGATTTGGATGTACCACATTCCCATTTTACAACATCGTCCCACCCTGAACTGCACAGTCAGCTGACTTCAGTGCCACCAACTTGTGTTAAATATTTGACAAAAATTAGTGCCTGAAGGGCTATTTTTATGAACATCCCAGTGCTGGTGTCTTGTAGTCTTAAACAATGGATTTTATTTCAAAATTATTATAATTAGCATGGCAAAAAACCCCACAACCAACCAACAAAATAACTTGTTAAATAACTCCCTTCCCCAGTTAAGTTTTTGTTGGTGGTCACCTTTGAGGTATTTTCCCACAAAAACCCAGTTTGTGGAAAACTTTTGTAGGTTCACAGAAGCTTTTTTTTTTTTTTTTTTCCCTACAACGGTAATACTGGAGGTTCATTTTTCTGTAAGGTTCTGCTTGATGACGTGGCTTTTTCCATGTGTTGTGTTGCTGCAGATGACATGCCATTGGGAGCAGCTGGCAGGAGGGCTTCCAGCGAGTTCTTGATGTGTGGAGGAGGGTAGGTGTGCTGGGCTTGCTCCAGAAGAAGTCTCATGGTCTAAAGTTGGGGCTGCAGCTGCAGAAGGGGTTTGGGGGGTTTTGGCACGGATGGGTTTTCACAGCTGTGCGGACTTTTCTTGGAGTTGAGGTAAATTTAATATAAATATCTAAGCAGCTCGAATTCGGGAAGTTTTGTTTCCAAGCAGGGAGTTTCTCTGCTGTGAGGACCTGTCTTTTGACAGTGGTTTTTGTTTTCGCAGGCAGTCGCCATTAACTATTTCTGGAAGCTCAGGAACTGTACAGAAACCATCCTCAGCCTCTTCTCGAAGTACTGCTTCTGGTACAGCCAACAGGTGTGTGATGTACCCTTAGGACTTCCCCTCTTTTAAAAAGTTTTTTCTGCTGCTAAATGCTTTGGGTTGTTTGTTTTCTTTTAATTGTGGATGTCTGCTGGAAACTGGACTGAAGTAGAAGCCAGACCTCTTTTTTTCCCAGCCTCCCTACACTTCGTGCAATCCCTGGTGCATCCCCAAAAGATTTCCTTAAGGAAAGAGAGTTTGTTTAAATTTTGAGCTGTTTAAAAGCAGAAACTTCAGAGACATAACTAACTTGTCTTCTTTGGTGGTGTGAAGCACAGCACAGTCTTCATTAGTGAGTCAAAATGTTGAATGCAGATATATTTTAAGAAGTAGTTGTAAGAGAAGAGGAACTTTGAAAGCCCAGATTGCTGTGGATCTGTGTCTCGTGGCTGGCTTGGCTTGCCTCTGGTCACTGGGTGTGGCTTTTGTGCAAGTGATTACTGTGAATTTCATGTTTGTGTCTCACAAGATACCAAAGAAGTCACATGAAAGAGCTAAACACACATTGCAGGTTTTCCATCAGCAGGACTGGTAATTAGTCCCCTTTCTTCCACATGACTGTGGGCTTAAGTTTCTGCTTGCTTGACACAGAACTGATTTTCATCAGTGGTGCCTGGACTCTTTCCTGTGTTATATTGGAAAATGTAAAGCTTAATCATGGTGTTTAACTACTCATGTAATATCTAACAGAAGGGTTAGATGTGTCATTTGATCAAGTGATGCATTTCATAACGTTTTCAGTACAAACAGAGGGAGGATGAGTGGCTAACTGGGGAATAAAGCCATTATGCTGGGTGTATTTTTGGCTCATGCCAATACTGGAGGGCTGCAAGTCAGCATTATTTGTTTAGAAATGCTTGTCACAAGGAAAGCTTGCTACTTTGTGCTGATCTTTGTGCAGTTTGTGAAATCTGCTGACATGGGGCTGTCAATACAGCTTTTAGTCTTACTGTTCATGTTTAAGGGCAAGATAATGGGGTTTGTAAAGATCCATTTGCTCTGAATTGGCCATGTACAATGTGCTGAAAGTACGCTGCAATTTGCTGTTTTACATTGTGGCAGGCAGAGTTT